TCACTTGTTATTATAACTTTTTTAATAATTAAATTTCTTCCTTGTAGTAATTCTCTCTATTATAATTTAGCAATATTGCAAATTTCCATTTTAGTCATAAGTATTTATTTGGAATTTTGAAGTTTGAGATATTCTATTTTGGTTTTTGAAATTTAAAAAGTAATTTTTTATGAAGTTTTTGCTAATGAACATGCATGTACGAAAACCATTATATTTATAAGATGTGATGGAAAGGAATCTTTGTCATTTTATATATAATGAAGCGCTATCCTTGTTTTTTTTTTTTTATGTACTACCTCTTGTCCTTAATATAAGACTTTGATTGATTTTTTTAATCCTAAATATAAGATCTCAATCTACTTTGTCTCTCATATTTATACATTTTTTTTTCAAAATAATCCTTCTAACAATGATAGTTTTAGCCAATGCACTTGATTAATAAGGATATTTTAGGAAAAATAACATCTATTTGTTACAAACAACTAACTTAACTTCTTTCCTCAACCTGTTCAAATTAGTCAATTAGCTCTTATAATTAGAACCGGAGGTAGTATAATTGTTTAGACACATGGCCCTTTCAATATTATATTTATTTATTTATTTTCTTTAGTTCACAACTGTATGGGCGGTCGTGGTCGATGCATGGAAAAGCTTGGCCTCCCCCAGTCGCTATTCTCCTCCCCCCTCGCTATTCTTAGTCCTCTCCCTATATTTGTCGGCTTCCAATTATTTTCTAACTTCTCTTCTATGAGTGGATCATGATCGGTCCCCAGTATCCCTCATTCCCCGTGCTCCACTTATTTTATTATCTCGTAAAAGTGTGTTTGAGTAAAGTGAGAGCAAAGAAATGAATACAGTAAAGATATCCTGGGTTTTTCCAGAGACTGTTGGTCCTGATTGATACGAAATATTAAAAATAAACAGTAAAGATTGAGACTGAAATTAAAAAATTTTGTTAAAAGAATGTTTAGTATAAATGATTACTTGTTAGTTAGGATTGGCAAACCCATATATATGGAATTGGGGAATACCATGAGGGAGATGGTATTTCCAAATCCCACTTACATGGGATTTAATCCCATATAATAAAAAATTATTCATGCTAAATACTTTTTAATGATTTTTGTCAGTTTCAATGCCTATTCTTATCTCTTATTTTAACAATATATTAAATGGGACCATTCAGTTTAGTGGCACAAGATACTTTAGGAGAATTTTAATCGGGATAATGATAACGATTAGAATTTATTTGAATTTTAGCAATATTTTCATTACAGAAGATAAAATAATTTGAAATCGATATCACAACAATCAATTTATGAAAAAAAATTTATATATTAACTTAGAAAAACAAAATATTAAAAATTTAAATCGTCCAAATTTAATTTAGCCCGTCCAAAAAATGTTGGAACCGTCTTGCTGAGTCCCTTTTTTTTGGGGGGGGGGGGGGAATGTCACAAAATTGTTTCACTAAATTGGTAAAATAGACGGCCATGATGCCGGCTAAAGTAATGATGGCTGGTGTTTCCGTGAGGCATGATTGAGGAGGGAAGAAGGGAATCTCTCCACTTTCATTGTGATTAAATTCCTCTACCATTTTTTTTGCATTCTCATCGTTAGATTAGCTTTCAACAATTTATATTTAAGAAAAAATTTTGGTTAAATTACTTATATCCTTATATCAAAGTTCTCCAATTACATATAGTCATATGTTATCTTCTGTTTCGTGTAATTTATAATTAAATGCCATTAAATATGATATTTCAAAAATAGGACACATGTTTATTGTCCCGTATTTAATATCTTATAAAACTATTATTTTAATATCAACTAACAAAAAAGCATATAAATAAATTTAAATTATTAAAATTTGATGTAGATTGTTCGCATCTGTATATTTTTATTAAAATATTTTATATATCTTTTTATTTTTATAAGATATTAAATTTTAACCATTGAAAGTTAATTTAATAGTAAGGATAAAGGAGGGGAAGCAAGTGGACAATAAGGGAATTGGACAAATTCTTTTCCTGAGATGTAAACTATGCATCTCCTTGTCATTTTGCGTAGGACAAGGACACATTTGAAATCACAATGTACATGTGTGTGTCAGTCAAACATCTTATCGTTTTTTCAAAAGGAAAAAAAAGCTAATAACAGGATATCCTTTATGCTTTTGTTGAGTCGGATTCGCGTGATATTTCTTTTAGGATTAAAAATCCAATATAATATCACGAAAGCAGACAACGTATATTATTTCATTACTATAAAATATGTTATTTTCATATGTTCTGAATACCTTTTTTCATTTATTTTGAGAGAAACATTGATAGAGGAGATATACATAGTAATTATATGTTTGTTTATTTTAAAACAGATAGATATTGGCATCCATATATTTGTCTGTTGGAGAATAGACGAATATAGGCATGCATATTCGTCTATTTTGGCCAAAACAGATGAATATTTTTTTATAAAAAGTAAAAATTTGCATATTGCCAGTTTTTATTTAACTTACAATTATAAAAGCATACATATAACAGAACTAAAACAGATTATAGCAAATAATAACGGTAATTGAGCACAACTAGATTAGATGTTTTCATATAAATAGAATCCACTCAACCCACAATTTTAAGGGTCAAAACATTTAAAATAAATAACATCATAATTAATTAACTTAGTTAAGCAAGAAAAACTAAACACCATTAGTTAGTCATTTAACAGAAGAAAGTTTTAAAACTCAAAAATCTAATAACATCCTAACTTAGTTAAGCAAAAAGAAACTAAGCATCCAAAGAAAAAATTAATTTCAAGCTTACTTGTAATATTAATTAGAATGATTGCAATATTCAACTCAAGCTTTTCAATATAATTTAAAGCGCACTTCTCCTAACACCATCTACCTTCAAAGTAATAAAAATAAAGTTATATACATATATATGATGAAATAGCATCTAAAGCTTTCTAAAATTCAATGTAAAGATTAAACATTGAAAATACTTAACTATAACATTCCAATCAAATTGCTCTCTTAGACATTTTCACAAACACCTTATGTGCATTAAGGTTCAAACAACGTTGAACAATTCCTAAGTGCAATTCTTACCAACAATTAATTTAAATAAGAAACATGCACATCCAGAAACCATTACATTAATTCCTTTCAACATCCTAAAACTCACATAAAAGACACACACACTCATGCCACTTACCTTGTGTTGTAAACAATCTTAAGGTAGAGGAGATCGAATGGCAACTTTTTGGAAGAAAACGTTGCTCTTGGTCATGGGATGACATGGATGAAGAATGGGGAAGAGATGAAGAAGTAAAAAGGGAGAAGGCAAACTTAGTCATCGGCATCAGCACTAGAAAGGAGAAGTAGAAATCTAAAGAAAAGAGAGAAAGAGCTTGCCACAAATGAAGAAGAGAGAAGAAGAGAGGAGAAGGCGTATTTCTAAAGCATGTTCAAATCTGTGCGCTACAAAGATAAAATTTGAATAAAAAAGGACACTGTTTGTCTGTTCTTGAGAGAAATAGATGAGTATGGGGGCTCATGCTCATCTGTTCATCATAACAAAGGAGTATGGTAGCCCATACTCGTCTGTGGCATTTGTTCTTAAGAGAAACAGATGAGTAGGGGGGGCTTATACTCATCTGTTCATCATCATAGATGAGTATGGGAGCCCGTACTTGTCTGTTGCAACATAACAGACATGTATGGGCTCTCACACTCATATGTTATGAGGAACAGATAACTGTGAACTCCTATACTCGTTTGTTTCTTTTTAATAGATGAGTTTGAAGGCCCATATTCTTTTATTTTTCAAAACAGATGAAAATAGGTAACAAAAATGTCCTTATTTGTAGTAGTGTCTTTTCTTATCTCAACATACATATTTTTCATTTTATTCAAATCACTATACTATTGGTAAGCACAATGAAAAATTACGAATATACTCCCTCCAGTTTTTTGGGCCAGTCATATTTTTGTTTCCAAATCTTCTGATTGGTCCTGACATATATATATATATATATATAATTTAATTTTAAACACATTTGAGAGGCCGCAATCTCCATCATTTTCGACAGGTGAAAGGAAAGGAAGCTTGGCGTCATGGAAATTATTGTGGAAGTGGGGACACAATAACTATCGCATTTGCAGAATCTGCCAAAACCACTCGTGTTTCACATTTAATTTCCCCGTCCTTAGTTACTTTCCCCCTCAATCAGTCATGTAGTACTCCTCCTATTCTTAATATAAGAACTAATTGTTAGTTATATTAGTTCATATAATATGTTTTGTTTAAAACACCTTAAGCATATTCTTTAATTTCTTCCTTCTCTCTCCTACTTGATTATTATTGAGAAAATACCAATAGGGTTGATTTGAGAAAAAATTGATAAAAATGAAAAATAGATTTTTACATAAAGGACCAATATCAACGCTCAAGTTACATCCTGCATTAAGGATCAGAGGAGTATTTAATAAAAGTCAGCTGTGAAGAAGAGACTGTACGTAGCTGCCTCTATATATATGGAACAATAATGCTATGCAAGAACCATGCACAATCCAAACGCTTGGCTCAATATCTATCACCTTCTAGTGCACAATGAGTTCGCTTGCTACTAAAATCTTCCTCCTTTTCCTGGTTTGGTATGCTTCCATTTCTCTTACCTCTTCTTCCAGTGTGCCTGGTGAGTATTCCCTTTTGAACCTGGATCTAGACAATCTCGTTTCTGACAAACAAGTGTTCCATCTATTCGAAATCTGGAAGAAGGAGACAGGACGAGAATACCAAACTTTGGGAGAGGAGGCAGTAAGATTTGAAATCTTCAAAAGCAACTTGAAGGAAATCAGAGAGAAAAATGCAGAAAGGAAGTCAGCCAGTGACTACAGCTTGGGTTTGAACGAATTCTCAGATATGACGTACGAAGAGTTCAGCAAAATGTACTTGCATGAGACAGAGGAACCCATAACGGAAATCAACAATAGCGAAATGATATTGAACGACGCATCATGTCCAGATGCACCCTATTCCTGGGATTGGAGGACCAAAGGAGCTGTAACTCCTGTTAAAAACCAAGGCAGATGTGGTAAGTTCAAATTTGCTTCGTTGTTCTGTTATAATCTAATTGCAGCATATAATAGGAGCATATAATAGCAAATCAAATTGATTTTTGTAGGTGGTTGTTGGGCATTCTCTGCGACCGGAGCTATGGAAGGTATAAATCAGATAGTCTCTCAACGGCTTCTAGAACTTTCTGAACAACAACTCATATCTTGCTCTACAAATAATGGCTGCAAAGGAGGGTGGTACGTTAATGGATTTAAATATGTCATCAACAATGGTGGTATTGCCTCAGAAAAAGCTTATCCATATGCAGCTGACGATAGTGCTTGCAATTCTAAAGCGGTTAGTGTTTAGACCTGTGTGAACTAATTGGGTAGTTTAAATATATGTAATTTTCTTAATTATGGTTTTACTCTTATTCTTATTTTACTTTGATGCAGGCTGGAAACACAATTGCTACTATCGATGGCTATAATTATTGGTCTCAGAAACCTATGTCTGAAAGTTCTCTCCGTTGTTATGTTTACAAGCAACCTGTTAGTGTTTCCATATATGCAAGCCCACATTTTAAGTCCTACGAAAGTGTAAGTCATATTTTCATTACTTCATCATCATATCTCTACCATCCAACAACACATATTTGAAAAGTAATTGCTGTGACAGGGAATCTTTAATGGAGACGATTGCTCAGGCATCAGTTCATCATGCAAACACAATCATGCTGTATTAATCGTAGGATATGGTTCAACCAGTGATGGTCAAGATTACTGGATTGTTAAAAACTCATGGGGAACCACCTGGGGACAAAGTGGTTACATACGCATCAAAAGAAACACCGGTGCTACTCGGGGAGTATGTAACATAAATTGTTCTGGCGCATACCCAACCAAGGCGAAGAAAGAACCTACCTTGAAGCTTGCCACTTCCATATGAAGCACGCCCTCCAGGAACAATATACAAAGCCAGGCAATATAAAGCCTCCAGAAGGACACAAGTTAGGTGTTGTACCATGCTTGTATTGGGTATAAATAAATGGCAAATCATTTGCTGTGGAATAAATAAGCCTAGTGGCGATATATAGTTATGTGTGCCGTGGAATAAAGCTTACTGATGAGAGCATTTGTTGTTTGTCTTGGGGTTCCTGATCAAAAATAAATCCAAGCAATGTAATATAGTGCAAAACTCAGATCGTTTCACTTTGAGGAGCCTTTATTTGAAATCCTAAGCAAACTACGTATCAAAAACAAAAAATTGACTTGGAAGGAATTGATTTTCTTTTTAATTAACTAATTGGAAAAATTTAAAAGGATACAAAATGAGTAAATAATTTTTGGATTTTTAGTTTATAAAATGGATATGAATGAAATAAGCAAAGTGAATTAACAAGTGACAGCAAATAGAAAAGCAATCATCTAACACAATGATTAAAGCTATCATTACTTCAATTAATTTGGGAGTTGGCTAAATTCAAAAGACTCCAAGGGTCACCCCTTAGACTTAGTTTAATTAGAATAATCAACACCAAGCCACCTTGCATATTAATTATTCACAATTAAACTGTTTCAGCACAATTAGTCAAAAAGAATCAAAGAAAAACAAGTAACATTTTTAGTCCAATAACCAAACCACCTTGAATTACCATTGAATGTTCACAATAATTTCAAAATAATCTGACCTAGTATAATGTAAAGAAATTAAAGCTAATCACACTATAATGTTAAATGCTAATCAGAGATTCCAGCAACTACAATCAACCTCAATACAAATATAAATCATCACAGTCCATTCAAACATCATAAAATTCATTTTAAGACCTAGAAATCACAAATACAATGAAAGAAGTAAAGATTAGAAGAGTTGAAACTCCCCTTTGAAGGTTTAAGTTCAAGCCATAACCATTGCTCTAGAGAATTGGAAGTATTTAGCTGCTCCTAATAACCATCACTACAGCTTCACCAAAATTCCAATTCGGTACAGCCATGAAGAACAATGAAGATGGAATCTGGAGGTGTGATTTCACCGTGCAAGCTCACTGTTTTTCGGTCTCTGGTTCTGTCACGCCGTCGCTGATCTCTTCTTTTTCTGTGCCGTCGCTGATCTGTCTCTACCACCAGGAAGAAGTAGTGGAGAAGAAAGAAGAAGAGATGCTGTCGATGGAAGATGAAAACTCAGGGGAGAGGAAGTGTGATTGCCGTGAAGCTCTGGTCCTTCGTTCTCTCTTCCTCGCCGCTGGTCCTCTCTCATGCCGTCACTCTATTCACTCAGCTATCTCTCGCCTCCAACATCCCCCCGAATCCAAGATGATGATAATGAATCTGAAATAGGGTAGGAGCAAAACGCAACGTCTTGCTCCACCTTTTTTTTTTTAAGTTTATTTTTATTATATATATATATATATTTTTTTTTTTTTCATTTTTATTTTTAAATCTTCCAAACACCTGTAATCAAAATTCAAGAATAAGGTAGTATTAATTGTCCTCAAAAATTGCTTATTCACAATTAAATTAAAATATGTCAATTTTGCCTCTCTAAAATGATAATTCAAAATAAAACATATTAAATCAATTAACAATCAATTAAGACCAAAAAGACTAATTAAGTTAACAAAACCCATATAAAAGATATCAAAATATATAAAATAATTGAATTTGTCACTTACATATGTTCAATTAAGAATGAAAGCTCTCCCTCTGTACATATTTACTTCTCCTTCTGATCTTCATATTGAATTAGAGCGCACTGATAAAACATGAAGGTAAGTAGGTAATCTGTTATGAAAACTTGATGTTGCTTTTACGTGGATTAATAAGTTCTAAGTAAATTGTAACCCAAATAAATCTTAACTGGCCCAACACAAGTGAGTTTGAGATCAAATTGAACTAAAGACATGCAAATGACAAAATAAACTTGAGTGACATGTTTTATATATTATGATGCGAAAAGTTGGGACACTGATTTTTTTTCCAGGTATTTCAAATGGAATTGATTTCCTCTTTTTGCCTTGCTCTTAATAGTAGTATGGTGTTTGATAATCACAAAATACACTTTTAAAAAGTGCTTTTATTCAAACCAAAGCAAAAGTCTTCTCACATATTTACTTTATATACTATAAAATTACTTTTAAAACCATGATTTGGTTTTCTTTTAAACACCCCTTAGGACACTTTCTCACAGCATCTTGTGAATCACTAATGTTTAGTAATCATTTCCTTCGAAATAATTCATAATTTTTTATACAATTGATCAAGAGACATAACCAACAATGAATTTGACAAGACTCTCCTTCCCTTGTTCCTTATTCCATGGGTGGAGAGTCAGGGCACTTTCAAAAATTATTTGTCTCTCTATGAACGTCGGCAGACCGGCAAAAAAGGGGAAGTAATTTACTTCAAAGAGAATCCTCCCTCCAGTTATTTATATAAACTTTAATTTCTTGAATAGATATGGTCTTTTTTTTTAAGCTACTCCCTCCATCCCTTATTAAAAGATCCAATTTTTTAAATGGGTCTAGCTCTCTTTATAAGATTCTCTTTAAGTTTGTCTGAGCATTGAATACATATTACTAATTTTACCCCTAGTTTAATCTATTTAATACATTCTCTTTCTTTATTTATCTCGCTATTACTCTCTCACATTTATCTATTTTTATATAGGGGTATATTTGGAAAAAATTATATTTGCTACATATTAATTGCTTTTAACTAATTTTAATCATTTTTTTAAATCATGCAATTTAGTTAAAAGGATCTTCTAATAAGGGATGGAAGGAGTATACTTTGGAGATATTTGAATATTTAATTTATTTTTTCATTTTTTCCATTTTTATATCAAACCGCTTGTCATTCAAAAAAATATTAAAAAAAATATATCCTTTATACACTTGTTGGCCTTATGGATTGGCGTCGCACTTTGTTAAGATGAAAAATCCTTTATTTCATTCTTCACAAATTACACCAGGCTAGACAAAATATATTCGCAATCTTTTAATGTTGTCATGTGTTGTAAGATTCGATATGTATTCGGATCAATTACTTTCAGATGGTATATAACATGATATGCAATAATTAGAGTGATGTGTTATACTCCTCTAGTCCTAAATATATAATACCCATTTTGGAGTATAAATTACACTGCAAAATAGGTCTTATATTTAAGACTAGAAGGAGTATTATTTTTTATTTCTCTTCTCCAAATCACTCTCAACTGCTTTTTTTTCCTAATTAATATAGATCCAAACTAACTTACATATGACATGGTCGAGGAGGACATGCATAACTTTTTTAAGACCACATGCATAATTTTTTTTTCTTTTGTTGAGCTCATGGTATCTATGCCAGTAGAAGTGACTAATATGCTCACACTGTGCTTTAGTGCTGATCATGAGACCTTCTCCATACACACGCCAGGGATCAAACTCCTGAATAGATGCTTAAAAATAATCTACATAAGTACTGACTGTGTTATCCACACACATAATACTCCTTCAGTCTTAAATATAAGACACACTTTGTATTATAATTTATACTATAAAGTGGGTCTTATATTTATGACCGGAGGAGTATTTTACTTCAAGATCCTTGCCAACCAAAAAATCCTAAATCAACGGAACTGTCCACTGCATAGGGTTAACTTGAATACAACAGGTGAGAATTATTTCGCATTTATGAAGAGAATCCAAGTGCCCTTAAGGAACAAGCTCGTTAAAGTTTAAACCGACACACAATCCCATGCCGGATGACAGGATCCGTTGGTTTAGGGCTTTTAATTAAAGTCAACAATATTAAAATAAAATACTGCGCAACGTGTAAAACAGGAAAATAGGATAACTTTTTCATTTTAAGGATACATTTAATGACTAAACTTTTATTTCTTGGCATCTAAAAAAAGTTAACCAACTTTTTATAGTATGGACTGGAGAGAGTAGGAACTTTTGGTTGTTGCTATGCATAGGTATTTTATTTTTTGGTACATAAGAAAAGTTCATCAGTTTCTTATATTATGAACAGGAGGGAGTAGCATTTTTTTGGCTATGCATAGGTATTTTATTTCTTGGTATGTGAGAATATTTAACCAATTTTTTATATTACGAATAAGAAAAAATAGTTTTTTTTAATTACAAAACAAACTAAAGGATTACAGCAGGCCAAAAAAGGGCCCCAACTATCCAGGCATCGACATGAAAATCAGAGGCCCATCGTGCACAACAATGGAAACACAGCCCAAACATAAGGAACTGAAACAACAAACCTAGAGAAATCCCATAGTGGGGCCCGTAACACTGCAAGTTTGAAAGAATGACAAAGCTATTTTTTCTTGCTATTCACAACTTCCGTTTAGGTATTTAGGTATTGATTACATTCTATAAACTATTAACAACTTCATTTAACAAGCAGCAAGATCAATCTTGCAGAGTCATTCACAGCTTCTGTTTATATATTGACGACATTTCATTGTTTGCTAACAACTTTCGTATAGTAAGTAATAATGTCGCTCTTTTATGTCATTCTATTAGCTACATTTCATTAGCTATTACAAACAAAAATATAGTCAATACTTTATTACCAAAAAAATATTTGTAATTTGTCACTAATTCAGTTAGTGATGAAAAAAAATTCTCATCGGCTATTTGTCAGTAATTTCATTTATAAATGAAGATTCCATCGTTAAATTTTTCCCATAATCACATTTTGTTGGGTTAATGTGCAAATTTACTCTAAAAGTTTTTACTCAGGAGTATTGGTTATCCATAATTTTTTTTGGGAGGAAATTTGTCCTAGAAGTTTAAATCATAGCAATATTGCCCCTCACTGTTAAAATGTTAACAGTCAACGTAAGTTTTTTAACGGTAGAGAAAAATATTGTTACAATTTTAAACTTTCTAGACAAATTTGCTTCCAAAAAAGGTTATGGGTACCCAATACTCTGAGTGAAAACTTTTGATGTAAATTTGTACCTTAACCCCATTTTTGTTGTAGCAAGACTCTGTATGATGGATGTAAATATGTGTAGTTTCTAGTTGTCACTACTTCTGGTTCTTAATGTAAGACCTCGTTTAACTTTTATTTTGGTCCTAAATATAAGATTTCAGTCCATTTTGTCTCTCATATTTATCTATTTTTTCTCAAGATAGTCATTGTAATAATGATAGTTTTAACCAATACACTTGATCAGTAAGTATATTTTGAGAAAGACAATACCTATTTATTACAAATAACTCACTTAACTAGTTTTTTTAATTTACTCAAATTAGTTAGTTAGCTCTTATATTAAGGATCGGATGTAGTTTTTGTTAGGTTCTTTAGTTAAATCATAGCAACTCGAAGCAGGGGATTTGTAGAGACTTTGGAAGATTGAAAACCAAAAGAGGATGAGGAAGATGAATGGACCAGAGGCATAGCAAGTTTGAGAATGAAGGAGGAAAGAAAACGGCTTGAGAAATCCAATGCAAGGCTCTCAAGCAGGGATGGTGCCTAGGTCTTTGTCGGTCAAGGATGAAGATGATGTTGACGTGGAAGATAGAGACGAAAAAATTTCGCTGTTTAACAAGTGGTGAAATTGATCAAAATTTAAAATAATAAGTGTAAAATTGCACCATATAAGTGCACTTAACAAATAAGATCAGGATATTGGATGTAACTTTAATCTTAAAATAATTTAAAGTGAGATAAATGAGTGGAGGAGGAGAGAGTATTTATGAGGACAATGGAATCTGTTTTTATAGGGAAAATTGCAAACAAAGACCTTTCAATATGTAAAATTATGATTTGGAACCCTTGATTTGAAAAATAGCAAATAAGGACCCGGTTCTACTTTTACAAATATGAATCATGGTGAAATGTCTGAAATGTCCCTCAGCCAAATGACAAGTTGACTATGTCGGAACTGACAAATTCACTTTAGTAAATGACATCTTCAGTAGACCAAATTACAACTTGGTTGAGGGGCATTTTAGGCATTATATTTCATATTTGCAAAAGTAAGACCCTGTCCTTAATTGCTATTTTTCAAATTCAGAGTCCTAAATCACAAATTTACATATTAGGGGGTCTTTATTTATAATTTTCCCTTTTTAATATGTAATTTGATGGGATCTTTGTTTTTTATATATAAATATTTGTTGGCATAACACTTTCAGTCATTGTTTTTGTCTACTTTCCCTTTTGTTCTGATTGGTATGCATGGGGGGTTGGGGTCGCTGCACGGAAAGCTTTACTTTAACCGCTGTCGCGACTTCCCTTGCCCTGAGGTGTATGTCTCCGATGACGACAAAGACGATGGAAGATTATTTGCAGCCACTCACTCCGTCTCTCTCTCACCAAAGGCTCTGTTTGGTTCAACATGGAGGTTATGAACTTTGTTAATTAGTAAGCGGGGAGGAGAGCAAATTATAAGTTGACAAATTTTTTTTTAGTTTATAAGATACAAATAACTGTAGATTAAAAAGTTGGTTAACATTAGTTTAAGACAATCAATATGTAAAATAAAATATATAATTATTTGCCAGAAACATTCTTTGTTTACGAAAGAGGTGGGTGGGAGTGCAAGAGAAAATGAATGGAAAAAAATACAAGAGAAAATGAGTAAAAAGAAGATAGTTGCCAAACACGTAATTAATTGAGGATAAAAATGAAAAAAATGCCTTAAATATTTAGACGAAATTTGGATTAAAATTAATAAGAACAAATCCACCATTCAAAGAATTGTAGCTTATTAAAAGTAACATAGGGTGTAATATTTATATCAAAATTATCATTTTCGAATTTCTAATCTCAAAAACCTATTGCCTCATTTATACAATACTATCTCTTCTAATCCTTAATATAAGACCTAGTTGACTTATTTAAATAGATTAAGTTATTAAATTACTTAATTGTATTATATGTTATATGATTTCTCTAAAATATTTACATATGTATCATTAGATTATATATATATATTAATTTATAAGTGAGACAAAGTAGTTTGAAGAAAAATGATAAATATGAACACTTTAAAAATAATTTATCAACTTCCTTAATTTCTCCAAATAAGTTAACTGGATCTTATATTTAAAGACAGAAAGAAGTAATATAATAATGTTATTGATTACCATCTCACTTCTTCTCTCCGTCTCTCTGCATGTTCTTCTTCCCCTCCTTAATTGTAAAATTAAACGTGAAATTTAAAATTTGATAAAACAGCCTGGTGAAACTTGAACAAAGTTAAAAAAATCTGTCATTCACAACAAATTAATGGAAGTTAATTAAATTTTAACAATATTGTGTTATACACGAAACTTTGACAGCTTTAATGTATGACATCCAGAATACAAGTAAATTTTAAACATTTGAGATGTTGCAATCTCCGTCGTTTTCGGCATGTGAAAGCACGAGAACTGGTAGCTTGGCGTCATAGCAATTATTATGGAAGTGGGGATACTGTACATCGTCATGCGCAGAATCTGCCAAAACCTCCCGTGTTTCATGTTTGCTCCTCCTTACTGGGGTTATCTCTCTATATATACATATGGAATAAAGCTATGCCAGAACCATGCAAAATACGAACTCTTGATATCCATCACACAACGAGTTCACTTGCTACCAAAATGCTCCTCCTTTTCTTTGTTTGGTATGCTTCAATCTGTCTCACTTCTGGTATGTCTGATGAGTATTCCATTCGGAATATAGGTCTAGACAAGTTCACCTTTGAGAAAGAAGTCTTCCACCTATTCCAAATGCGGAAGAAAGAGACTCAACGAGAATACCAAACCCTAGAAGAGGACGTACATAGATTTCGTGTTTTCAAAAGCAATTTGAAGTACATCAGAGAGAAAAATGCAGAAAGGAAGTCACCCGGTGACTACAGTTTGGGCCTGAACAAATTTTCTGATATGAGTTATGAAGAGTTCAGCAAAATCTACTTACATGAGACTGAGGAATCCATGATAGAAAGCAACAATAGCAGAATAGTATTGAACGCCATATCCTGTCCCACCGCACCTTCTTCTTTCGATTGGAGAACCGAAGGAGCTGTAACCCACGTTAAAAACCAAAACCCATGTGATAAGTCTAAATTCAAGTTTTTTTTCTTTTGCTTTTGCATTATCAACTAACTGTGTTATATGACATATGCTTAATAGCAAATAAAATTCATGTTTATGGACACTTGTTGGGCATTCTCTGCAACTCGAGCTATGGAAGGAATAAATAAAATAGTCTCAGGACAGCTTCTGGCTCTTTCTGAACAGCAACTCATATCCTACGATCAGAAAAGCACAGGTTGCAAGGGAGGTGGGTGGTACGCTAACGCATTTCAATCTGTCATCAACAATAATGGTATTGTCAAAAACTCACGGGGATCTACCTAGGGACAACGTGGTTACATCTTTATCAAAAGAAACACAGGTACTGCTCTGGGAGTTTGTAACATAAATTGTTCTTGTGCATACCCAACCACAAAACATATGCTTCGAAGCTTGCTGCTTCCATATGAAGCACAAGCTTCAGCAATAATATACAGTTGTATGAAGTGCCCCAGTTATGCGTTGTACTATGGTTGTATTGGCCATAAATAAATGGCAAACCATTTGCCGTGGAATAAAGCCTAGCAACCCATTGTGGTATGAAGCACACTAGTTAGGTGTTGTAGTACGTATGTGTTGGGTATAAAGCAATGTGTTGTATTATGCATGTATTGGGTATCAATAAATGTGTTGTATTAAGTATGTATTGGGTATCAATAAATGGCAAACGATTTGCTACAAATAAAGCTTATGTGTGGTTAGTTAAGAATAAAAGCTCTACATACACACACGGATACCCCATGCCCTTGCAACTTCATAACGTAAATCCCCAAAGCAAAATTGAGTTTTGTCTTTAAATGGATTGATTAAAAAAATTACTAAAATTGTAACCCAAATACTCATCTGGTTTTATTTATAAAGTACTTCTAACATATTTCACACAGACCAAGAAAATTTTAAACTGCATTAATTTTTTTATTAAAATATAACAACTTTTTAACTTTATCCGTATTTATTATATACATCTTTCAAAGAAAAACTATTTATCCTATAATAAATGAAGGACAAAATAGTATTTTTATGCTAAAAATTTCATGAAGTAACTTATAAATAGAACCAATAAAAACTTTCTCTATGTGTCTTATTAATAGGACAAGCAGAGTAAACGTTTGAGATAAAAAGGAATTAAAGAGATAAAAATGACAAAATAAAGTAGGGTGACATATGAAATTAACTTCCTCTTTCCGCTTTGCTGTTAATAGTAGTCTAAGACTAATTTTCCTACAAGCATCTTGTGAATCACTAATGTTTAATAGGTACTCCCTTTGAATTAATTCCTAATTTCTTTTACTATTGATCAAGAGACAGAACCAATAATGAATCTTTAGATAATCGTGAGGATTATAGGTATCTTCCTCTATCCTGCTAGTATATAATATTGAGCTACTATTATTGAATTGGGATAGCAGTGAAACCTTATAATGGAGTATGTTGTAAAAACTCTATAATAATAATAATAATAATAATAATAATAATAATAATAATAATAATAATAATAATAATAATAATAATAATAATAATATAATAATAATACATGTTAACGAAGACCATCATATTTATGGCATGGAAAGGAATCTTTTGTGTGTGTGTGTGTGTAAATTATTTGTAGTTGTTCCAACGTTTGTTTAGTTAGCGAGGCAGCACTCAAGGCTCCAAGTTTTCGTCCTCAAACTTAATGTCTTTTCAAGCAATAAAGCTTATGTATGTTTAATTAAGAACGAAGGCTCTATATATTTATACTTCATCTTGTGATCTTCATACTAAATTAGGGTTATTTGTTGCGCTGAGAGATGTGAAGAAGTAAGTAATGCCCAAACAAAAAGCTTGAGTTTTTCTTAATGTGGATTAATAGTTTCTAAATACTGAAATTTAATCCAAATGACAAATCTTAATAAGCTCGGCGCAAAATTGAGCTCTATTGGGGTTGGATAACAATTAAACAGTACTCCTTCCGTTCCTTATTATAAAAGACAAATAACCAAATTACGTTGATAAAAAAAACAGTTAAAATTAGTTGAGGACAATTAATATGAAAAAAGTATAATATTTTTTCCAAATGCCCCCATTAATAAGGAGAGATCTAGAGTATGAGAGAGAACAATTAAATTATTAAAAGAAAGAGAAATGGGAGGGAGAGAGAGTATGAGTTGGAGACAAAATAAATAGGGGTAAAATAGGAAATCAATACAAAAAAATAGAGACAACTTTTAAGTGTCTCTTATATATGGGAACATGCTATAAACATCAAATGTCTCTTATAATAAGGAACGGAAGAGTATGTTGTAATGATAAATATGCTTACAAAAGACCAACAAATTGTTGGTTAAGGTAGTAGCGACCTCACCCCCTTAAAAAAAAAAACACACAAGTTCAAATTGTAAAATAAGTGTTGGGAAGGTTATTCCTTGCCCCCAAGTATTATAGTACTCATCACTGAAACTAGCTTAGTTTACGTTTATAGCATGGGACGGAATCTTTATATATAAATATTTTTAAAAAAGATATGTTATTAAAATCGACTCAGATTATTATAAATATGTGTCTTATACAATTCAAGCATTTAGGTTTTATATATAGACCACTCCCATTAATTTGCACCTGAGATGTTTCATGGCTTGCATGGAGAGATTTTCTGAAAGGGATTTAAGCTTTTGAAAAGGTTTCATAGAAGAATTTGACTAGAGTTTCCTTCCCTTTTTCTTACTCCATGAGTAGTGGCATCAAGGGAACTTTCATTTTTTTTTTTTTTTGGCCTTCTCCCTATATATGAACTTCAGCCACGCCAGTAAAAGAGGGAAGTAATTTATTTCAGAGAGAATATATAGGCAAAGGGGAAGGGTGGGGCGAAAAATGGGTGAAATGAAGATTTGTCAACCATTTTTGTGAGTGTTCGAAGCCATAAAAATAAACTTCTACTCTCAAAAAAGTTTTTTCAGCATATAAAAGGCTAGCCAAATTATTTAACCCGAAAATAATAGAAGAAAATAGGAAAGGGGAAATTTCATGACAAATTAAAGGGAAACTTAATCATCGGATCCCCATAATTTTGATTCATTTGTAATACAGTCCCTACGTTTTGACTCTGTAACACCTTATCTTTCCATGATAATAGGGTTATTCTGAATAACTTCGAACCATTAAAAGCCAGGTTTCATCCTAGGAATTCTTTTTCTTTTGAAAACATTTTCCAAACACATGGTTCAATCTTGTTTAAGAAATCAGATTTTCTGAAAAAAAATTCAAACTTTTTAAAGTTGCTTTCGGTGAAGCCTATCTAGTAGTTCAAGTACTTAATTTAACCTTTCTATAAAACTGGTAAAATTATCTCAAGACCCAAGCTCTAACATTGTCAAAGCCCCATACTTAGCAAAGAAGTCAACACAAAAATTCTTCTACCTAAGCAACTTCTCTATATCCCTGGGCACTATGCATGCACTTGCCCTTGCATAATAAGATAAGTAAATATAATTAGCTATTATTATGTCTTCTTTACCACCATACAACCATTAGAGCAGATAGCACTCACCTGCTGGCTACAATAGCCATTACTTTCCTCTTCACAGCCCGCATTCTCTTTACATAATTACATATATTTATATACAAAATTATAGCCATACATGGCTACCAAATACTATAAGTATAAAACAACAAAATAACATTTATATAATAACAGCTAAAAACTTCTTTGGAGTCTCTCCCTTTAGATCTTCCCTATAAGCCTGCCTTTCCTTTGGGGAACTTGCTCTTACTATTGATAAATGGGAGAAAACGAGGTGAGATTCAGTGGAATCTCGATAGCAAAACATCAACTCAATATATATAGAGCTGGGAAAACAAGCTGAGCCGGCCCTGCAGGGCTAGTGGGTTAAAAGAGTCGGCCCTACGAGGCCAAATTTTTAAAAATACCTGATTTGCTAGGCTCAAGCCTTAAGCAGACGAGCTCAAGGCCGACCCACAGGCTTTTAGCCCATTTTAAAAAAAAAATCATTTTTCATATTTCTTACATGTTTTATCAAAAAATAAAACTAAACTAATAAAATCACTAGTAGCCGTGTGGCTAGCCGGTGCGATTGCCGATGAGAGTGACTTGAGTTTGCTTTTTAAATAAAAGGTTACATTATAAATTACCAACATTTTAACATTTCATTTTAGCCTTGCTGGCTTATTTGCAATTTTGCAAATTCGAGTACACTTTTGGGATTTTTAAAATTCAAATGTCAATTTTTTGGCATTTTCCTACTTTTTCAACTCTATTTGTATTCCCAGCTTGTTTGAGGAAAAATTACTCCCTTGGCAGCAATTTTTTTTGGAAGAATTACGATAAATTTCTAAGAAAAAAATTATTACAAAATAAGTCCTAAAAGTTATTATATCTACTCTGAAATTTTGTCATTACAGGTTGCTTAGGTTGTTATTAGGACTTTATAGTAATTACCTTCCTTACTTATGATCTCATTATAATTCTCCCTTTTTTGGCCAAATTTTCACATCGGCCCTGATATATGTAAATTTTAGACATTTGAGGCATTGCAATCTCCATTTTTGGTGTGTGAAAGCGGGAGAACACGAGAGGAATATTTCTACTAACTTTTCTCTCCACTTCCTCTTCACTTATTATCTTCACCATTAGATCAACTCTCAATAATTAGATTTAATATGCTATAAAAATATTATTATAATACTAAATACAAATTATATATAAAAAAATTCAAATATTTAAAAAATTGATTTGAATAGTTTAAAATTGCAATAAATAAATAAATTTGAAATTTTTTCACAAGGGTAAATTTTTATTATAATATTTTTTTTACTTTTTATCCTATGTAAATCTGAATTGTTCGAATTCAATGTTAAATATTTAACTTTATTTATAGAGATTTTATTTAATAAAAAAATTAAATCCAATCACATTAAATAATAATCCAATGATAGATATAATGAGTGAAGAGGAAGGTGAGTGATAGAGCATTATTGGGGAAGTGGGGACACTAGCTTCTGTGCAGAAGCAGCCAGAACTAACCGTGTTTCAGGTTTTCCCGTCCTTTAGTCCCCAAATTTGTATCAAATTGCCATAAGATTAAAATAAATAATCAAATAGTTATCAAATTGCCATAAGAACCGAAAGTATTATTATTTTTTTATGATGTAAGAACCTATTAGATTTTAGACTGGTATATTAAAACTAGAGTGATATACTCTAATACTTTTCTCCTTCTCCATGTATACTCTCAATTCAGGTCCTAAACCAACGAGCAGGCGACCGCATATGATTAGCTTTAAGTATA